TACTGGTAGAGAGCTGACATGCATGTGACTTGTGTAACCATTAGATATGACTTCGGGACCTTGTGTTGTACTAAGTTGTTGCTCTGAGTTACAGCTCACCATGGCCTCTGGAAACACCATGATGGACCCCATCTGTCTGGTGGAAAATCAGAATAATCAGCTGACAGTAAATCCAAAAGCACTGGAGATTCTAGACAAGATTTAATAAAAGAGACTAACCCCTGCCACTAAAGAAAAGTTCTACCTGTCCTGATGAAATAAATACATTAAACCTCATTGTTCCACAAAATCTCACTCTTTGAGCCAGTAACAAGTGGTCCCCCAACTTTATCCAAAGATCCACCCATTATTCCTGATCCCATCCACTCTTTCTGCTGAGGAGCTCAGCTTCAGCAATTATTCCCTTCCTTTCTCTCCCATCACTTTTTCCCTAAACTTTAGGGCCTTTTCAACCAGGACACAAATAATGTTGAACATGTCCCGTTTTCAAAAAAGGATGGAAGGAACAACAGACAACAGTATATTCTATATACCCATGGCTCCATGGGACTTCCGTCCAATTTTTTCCTTCACTTCTGAGTAAAACTTTGCTGAATTATACCATCTTTTCTTTATTGAGTCTTTTCCAATATGTGAACTATACCACAGAAGAGTGCACAAACATACACATATACAAAGTTAATAAACATAAAGTGATCATCTGTGTAATCACTGCCCATATCCAAAAATAAAACATCACCAGGACCCAAAAGCACTAGCTATACCCTCTGACACCTCACTAGAGCTCACCAATGTTCTGATTTTCATGCTGCATGCTTTCACTCTTCCTTTATAAAAGTGGTTTTACAAGCTGTGTATGCATTTGTAAGAATAGCTTAAATCTAACCTAATAAAAGACAAACATGGTAATTAACCATACCTCCGACATGCTTCCCATTGGCTAATCAGGGCAATATGCAAATTATCTGCCAACCAAGATGACAGCCGGCAGCCAGGCAGCTGAAGCG